AAAGCAATTCCATGACCCTGGGCACAGAAGGAAGAAATAAAAGATATTTCAGACGCAGTGTGGCCCCTAAAGATGCCAACGACTAAATGGAAAAAATATATATGACCAGGAAACTAGACAGCCAGCCGGAAAGGCGGCACACGTGTCCTTCGGGACAACGAGACTGGGGAGACCACCCCCATATTCAGCAGGGACACCCAATGCCCCAGGCTGGGATCCCAGCCAGAGTGGAGAGGTGGCGGTTCCTGTGCTGGGCGATCAGGCCCTGCCTTTGAGGCCTGGGGGGCGGCTGAGAGACAGAAAGACACACAGACCTCTGGAAACAGACCAGGGGCTCTGATCACTCACCCACCGGGAGCAGCGGGGAACACGGGGCAGCGTTGATTCACCGCCATCACCGCAGCTCCCGCAGAGGCCGGCACGCCATCCCTTGTCTGGAAGCAGCTAGGCCCCGCGCCCACGTGGCAGTGGCCCCCGGGGGCAGGGTGGAGGGCGTGGGCAACCCCCGTGGAGTGGGCGCCTGTGAACCTTCATCTTAGCGTGTGTGGGGATGGCCAGCAGGTTCGGGTGGGGAGAGGAGACTGCCGGGTGGGCACATGCGGGCATGTCTGCTGGGGGTGGCTGCTGTGCCCAGCTGTCCCGAGGCCCTGCACCTGCGCTGAGCAGCCCAGATGCCCGTCTCAGCCCCACCCATCACCCCCGGCCTGGGCCTCTGAGTCCCCACTTCCTCCCCCTCCCCATCTGCCTTCTGTAGCCCTTCCCCCGGGGCTCACCTGCCCCACCCACTGCAGAAGCACAGGGGCCCCTCCTGCACCCCACTATGGCCTTTCCCTGGGCTGGGCCAACCCAGGCCACTAAGGGAGCAGGGCCAGTGTGCCGGGAACCTTTCTCAGCCCTGAAGTGGGTCCTCTCCACACACCCAGGACACTGTCACTGGTTCTGCTGGGGGCACAGTGCCCACCATCAGTCAGATCAGCAGGCTGGGCAGGCCGGGCGCTCCTCGCTGAGCCCAGCACCCTGGGAATCTTCGGGAACCTTCCAGTCCTCACGTTCCACGAGGTGGTTTCCAGAGAAGCACACTTTCTGTGGGCGCCAGCCTCTCTGGGCGATGGTCAGCTCAGGACGAGGATGGCAAAGGGGTGCCCTCCTAAAGGCCAACGGGACAAGTTACTGTGGCACGTGGGACATCAGCAGGAGAGGCCTCGGCAATATGGATGCTGCAGTGTCCACTGGGGTCGACCCACCCCAGGTGCCCTCTGGACCGACACGACGCCTCTGAGCACGACCTGGGGCTCCTGGAGGCTCCTCCTCGGACCCCTGACTTCAAAAGTGCCCAGAACATGAAGGTGACTGTGAAGACAACAGGCACATGTATGCACACATGCACACACTACCTACACAGGCTTGTACACACATCCTGGCCGGCCAGTCCCGGAACTGACCATGGCGGCTTCGCCTGATCACTGTAGCAACGGTGACAGTGGGACCCACGAGGAAGCCCTGCTCGGACCCTGACCCGGAGCTGCACCTGCCCCACAGCCATTGCCTGCAGCCTGGGTTCACATTAACACCCTCGAAGAGGCAGAGCCAGGATGTAGGCCAACAGGTGGCCATGGAGACTAGCCGTTAAAGGTGGCCTCAGGACGGGGTTCTGAGAGATGGAGCAGTGCACCGGTGGCACTAATCGCAGAGCTGCCCCTAAAGAAACACGCCTCCCGTTCTCTAAGGACGCCGCCCCACGTGCCAGGAGAGTCTCGTGCCGCACGAGAACGGTCTCCCTTGATCTTCAGGAAACCTGGTGAACTTGGCCCAATTCCCTCTATTCCACCAACGGGGAAACTGGGGCCCAGAGAAAAGGCGCTTCTCAGCTTTGCTGGCAGCTCAGACGGGACTGACACCAGATTCCCGCCCTTCCCATCACACAGCGGGGCGGCCACCCCTAGGGCCAGGCTGTATGCCGCAGG